AACACATTACGTGTGTGTGTGTGTGTGTGTGTGTGTGTGTGTGTGTGTGTACGTGTGTTTCTATTGTTGTGGGGACATATTTTCCCAACTTCAAAAGGCTTTTTGAGGATTTAAGACTTGGTTTTAGGGTTATGTATAGAATTAGGTTAGAATGATGGTAAGAGGCAAATGAATGCATTAATAAATTATGTCAGAGTGTCCGCACAGCCATAGAAAGATAAATGTGTGTGTGTGTGTGTGTGTGTGTAATGAAATACAGTGACCTGATTTTCTTAACTGTATGTCTGGTGACCCTGATCCACCTCACACAGCAACAACTGTAAGAGTCTGTGTGTGTGTGTGTGTGTGTGTGTGTGAGAGATTTTATATTAGTGATATTATTAATCTGGCTCTGTAGAGATGTTGTTGCACATGACTCAGTTAATAAAATTAACGTCCCTCATCATTAAAGTAATTTAAAATGAGCAACAAGGCAACTATGTTAATTAGATCTTTATTTTTTTAATGAAACACGAAACCCTGTCCCCTATTAACTATTTATATTTAGTTTTTTTTTTAATTTGGAAAGCAAACACATAGAAAAACTTACATTATTTTCAGGAGTCGGATTCGGAAAAAAGCCTTTTTGGGAAGTGGTGGTTAAACAATGTTCACTTTCAACCTATTCTGTTAACAAGGTATAAAATCACAACAACTGCATTTCAGCTCCAACCATAAGTTTATCTCACGTCCTCTTGCGTTCATGATCTTTGATGTAACAGAGATGTAGACCCCAAAAAAAATATTCTCAGTAACATTCACACATTTTACCAGAGGGGAAATAGAAATGATTGTTTGTTGCCGCAGACCAAACCAATGAGTGTTCCTGGCAAACATGTCGGCAGCGTGGCACCGTAACGCTGAGAGAAATTAATTAATTCCAAGTGTCAAACTGAGAGAAACAGACAGCTGCAGTCAGGCGTTAAAAGGAATTGCTGTATCAACAAAGTGCTGGCTTCGATTAAATCAGGGTGTTGCCATAATCGGAATACTTTGGCTCGGCTTCATGACTGTTTGGTTCGATGGGAGTTTATTTTGAGTTTAGTCATTTTTCTGTCGCTGAGCTTGGTTTTTGAAGGCAGATGCAACAACAGGCGGAAAAGCAGAGATATGTAACTGATATGCAAAGAAAAGGCAGAGGCAGCTGCTGGTGTATGGTGGATGTAATTTCCTGAGTACTTCTCTGTAGCATTGCATCGATAGCTAACGTAGCACATTAGCACGGAAGCTGGCCAAGGTGCGTGTTGTATTTAGATACAGGTAAATAGATACAGGTTTTGCAGGTTTCCATGTTGAATTATTGCTGATGACCTCCCTACTGACCCCATCACCTACTGCCACCTTCTTGCAGATGTGTAGCATTCACACCAAACAGTTGCAGGATATGCAGAGGCAGCCATGAGGCGTATTTGTAGTTCCCACGTTTTCTCTTTGATTCAGCTCTTTGATGCCAGGCCTGATGACTTCTCGTCAGCCCACGGTGCGGTGCATGTTACCTGTTCGCCTGCTTGGCACACGTGCTGAGGGTTTCCCACTTGTCAAGACGGGCTCAGGTATGCTGGGCCTGCCGCAAGGAATGCAGGGAGGAAAGAAAAAAAAAAGAAGAAGAAGCCCATCTCGAGAGAGAGAGAGAGAGAGAGAGAGGGAGGGTGCGACAGAGAGACGAAAGTGAGAGCCAGATGCTTTTGATAGGAAAAAGGAAATTAATGGCTAAGCAATGTCGTCTTGATGTGGTCTCCATGACGACCAGTGTGCTGTTGCACATCTGCAGGCGAAACCAAAATTAAATGGATGCACTAATGATTAAGTGCAGGATGCCCCGCGGCAGAACGCAGCACTGCACTCTGTCTAATGCGGCACTAAGCTGCGGGGGGGCTGTGGGAACATGTGATCCCTCTTTGGCAAAATATCCACCATTAAATTAATTTATCGATACGGAGGAATTCACTTCATCAGGATTCAGTCTAATGAGGAGAATAAACTCTGTCTGGGTTTTACCTCGGCCACATCCTTGACTGATTTACAGAAACCGCACTGGGGCTGTTAAGTTGTTGGTTGGAATCCGTGAGGGTGCAGAAATATTCTGTTGTATTTGAGCTCTGAAGGTGGATGATGATTATTATTGTATATCGTGCAGAAGGATTTTATTGTTAAAGGTCACAGGTGACTTTTTCCTGCTCACATTAACGACTGATTCTGTTCTTTATGTTGTTTTTTTTCTTCGTCAACTCCATATCAGCCAGGATCTGATCTCCTGCAGGCACAAATCTTTACACCTCGGCTGCAGGTGATTAGTCACCACTGAGCTCTTCATATTCAGGAGGAGATATTATCTAGGACTCTTTATGCCAAGAAATGTACACACGATCCTCTGAGCTGCTGATCACTGTGACAGGCTGAAGCAGCACCAGTCTAAAGAGCCGTCAGGTTTTTCACAAAGACGTTTTCCTTTTTCCGCTCTTCACAGCTGTAAATGAAACAAAAGTCACACTTGAGACAACACATCCGACATCACAGACAGTGTGGTGAAACACTATCGAGGTGTGAACATGGTTTGCTGCTGCATCAGTCAGAGAGACGCTCTAAACCACTGCTGAGATCCGTTGTTTCTCTGTCAGGTGTTAAAGTTAAGTGGGACGGACACAGAGCTGCCGGAGGTTGTAAACTGAGCCAATCTCCAGGTCTTCGACTTTACTGAAAAAGAAAATCTCGGGATTTGTTGAAGAGAATTATATCAACTTCAGTGTCCTCTTCAATATCTCTTCCTGTAAATGAAGCTGCCACTGAGGGTTGTAATTAAGAACAGCAATAAACACTTTTCCCTTTAGACAGGGTTGGACGGCACTTTGTATAAACTAGTTCATTTCAAGATTAACCCTGATGGCTGATACATATACATGTATTTTAATGTGTTTGATATTTCCGTGACAAAGACAAAGAAAGAAAATATTGAAAAAACTTCAGTCACAATTCCTCTCTCTCTCGCCCTCCCTTAGAAACGCTCTCAGTATCTGGATTTTCTTGCATCAATGGGGCCTCAGGCATGAAGGAAACAATCAATGAGGGTCCCTGCAAGTGTAGTACAAACCTGTGAGTGTGTTTGCCCTGCAGGATGTGGACTTCTCTAAATATACGCCGAAGCTCGAGGGCAAAACCAGCGTGAGCAACCAAACAGGCTACAGAGACTGACCCAAATCCTTTTCTCTCCTCTCCTTGAGCAAGGCACCTTCCTGACAAAAACCCATTCAACCTCGCTGCACGTTTGCATCATTGCAAGCTTGCTTTTTGCACATGTGTTAGTTAGTGCGTTGCCACTGTGCTCATTTCTGTTTTTCCAAGTAAATTAAGGTTTTATAGCAGGATGCCAGCTGCTCCCAGCTACCCAGGAATGCAGTAAAGCATATGTGCCTGTGGTAAACGCCCTGTATCGTCTGGGTCGGTGAGCAAACCGACAACGAGATGCTAACATTAGCTGCAAGCACATGGTCACCCAAAAGACGAAGTCCTCTATGTAATGTTCAGGGTGCAGTTTTAAACGTCAGCAGAGGCATCGCTCCGACATGTGCGTGACTCTGAAGCCTCGGACCATTCGTCTTTAAAGTTGTTGAATTTATATATATATAATATATTCCTATATATAGGAATGAAAATAAAACCAGCTCATGCCTCCAGCTTTCTCTTTTATTAGGTGGCTAGAGATTTTGGCAAACCCCCAACCACAGGACCTTTATTTAAAAATCATCTCAATCTCCTCCATTAAATGACCAAAAATGTTTGCTCATATAAACAGAGAGAAGCTTTTTTATAAGGCTTTTATCTCAGGGCGGTGATTCGGTCCTCCTTCATCGCATGTCGAGCAGACGCAGCTCAGCGTGCTGTCAGTGTCTTTATCGTCAACCTCTTCTCCTTAAATCTGTGGCTGACGAGACGCAGCAGCAGCGGCCTCGATATGTTGTCAGGGGAAAAACGTGTCAACAATTATCACACGACACAAAAAAACTGTTTTTATTTGAGCAATCAAATAAAAACTGAAACACTAATCCAAACCTATCAGCTCTGATGATTGAATAACTTGGTGGTAACACAAACACACACACACACACACATACACACATATACACACACACACACATATACACACACGTACCACCGGCAAGTGCCAATGAAAGATTCATAGAGCTGTGATGATGAAGGCCTCTACTCTTCTGCTCCACTTACCACAGTCGACAAATTCTGCCCCCAAATCCACACACACACACACACACCCCACCCACTCATGCACACACACACCATCACGGGGCCTGTTAAAGAGGGAAGAGACACAGCTGTGGGGTACTTACTCACCCTTAACCTTCCCAGATGTGGACACACAAATACACATCCACACAATCCTGAGGCATCTAGTGTGTCAAGAGACTGATGCTTCAGACTCTTTTCTCGTGTGTGCACTTATATTTATGTAGAAGAACATCTTAACATGAACCTGCATATCCCCTAAAGGTCAAAATAAATGTTGAAGACGAGCGCTGTTCTGTATATTTCTATATATTCTTATGGTAACGATCTTTTTTTTCCAACATTAGCTCACAGGTTGAGGTCTGGTGTGACACGCTCTCATGCTGTAGTTATCGGCTGTAGTTATTCTCAGCATTCTTTACTGCGTCTGTTACAGACAAAACACTTTAGTCCTGTAAAATGTCGTCCACTTACCAGAAGGTTGGTGGTTTGATCCCGGCACCTTCGGTCTGCATTCGAAATTGCAAGATACTGAAACCCAAGTTCTCCCTGATGGCTCAGCCCGCATAGAAAAAGCACCGTGGATAGGAACACTAAATGAGATCGATACACGAGAGGTCGATTAGACTGGAAAACTGATTCACTTCCATTCATGATCAGCAAATTCATTATTAAATTGCAAACAAATTAATAATTAACACTTTCTCTTTTCCCCACTGTGCCAGGTGAACATCTGAGGATGTGTCCTCAGGGTCCGACCTGCTGCACCAGCACCATGGAGGAGAATCTGGCCGGTCTGACGGCCCGAGAGACCGAGGGGCTGATCAGAGACGCCGGCAGGTCGCTGCAGGCGTCTTTCAACGCCCTCCACAGGAGCTTCGACAGTAAGTAGAGTTTTTATTTGTGAATATTTGTGTGTGTGAAATACTCATGACAGGCTGAGCTCAATAGCAAAGCTTGAACTCAGGGGAGTGCGACATTTGTATGTTGTGTATTTGTGAGTTTGTGTTTGGTACAAGCTCAGGCCGTGCTCACAGCTCAGTTCTGCAGCTTCAGTTGTGTGTGTGTGTGTGTGTGTGTGTGTGTGTGTGTCTTGTGTGTGTGTGTGTCCTGTGTGTGTGTCCTGTGCATCAAGGAGACCCCTGACTGGGTGTTATAATGAGAGCGGAGTCAGCCAGACACAATGAAATGTGATAAGCCGATCCCCTGATCTCTAAGGGACACACACACACACACACACACACACACACACACACACACAAACAGAGGGGTGTCCCCCTGGGGCAGTGGCTGGTTCAGCTAATGAGCAGTTGACCCACTGAGGAGCTGAGGCTGCAGATCACTGCACATCAGAGAAAGAGAGGGATGGAGGGAGGAAGAAAAGAGGTACAAACCCAGAAGTGCCACCGATAACAACAGGGAGACTGACAAATACAGCGAGTGAGAAATGTGTGATTACAACTGAGAATAAACAGAGAATCCAGATGCAAAAGGGGAGGAAAGAAAGAAGAGGAAGAGAGAGAGAGAGCGAGAAGCAGGAGGAGGAAGAGGAGGAGGAGGAGGTGTAGTCAGAGGAGGACAGTATTATTAGTCTGGAGGCAGCAGGCCACCTCAGTAGCAATAATGTGGCCGTCCATCTGCTTGTGGTTAGAACAGGCTGGCACTGGTCCACAGCCTTTGAAGAAAAAGGGAAAAGCCCAGACTCCAGCGCTGACTCCTTTATTCTCTGGGTTCGACCTCAGCATCACTCTGAATCCATCTGGCAGCAGAGGAAAGAAACCTGAGAAATATATTCGCATCGAGTCGGGTTGTAAATAAAGTAAATTAGAGTCACGACTGACATGAATACATTGTGTAGGAATCTTTCAAGAACAGTAACGTTAAAAAAAATAAAAAAATCGAAATCGTGGTCATTCTGTCAATAACAACAACCTCACAGGGATCGGTTTGAATCATAGACTGAATTAAAGACACGGCAGCTCCCCAAACTGAAGCCAAAGCGTCTCGATCTCCGCCTGGTGGCTGGCCGCAGTACAGGTCATAAATCCTGCCTCCTCCATGTTAGTGGATGGGACGTTGCCTAAAATTAAAAGTACAGGCTTTCTGTCTGAGTTGTTATCACCCTGCTGTTTGTTCAAGTAAAAAAACTGATGATTGACAGGTGAGACTGAGGATTGGTCAAGTGTGTTCATTCAAAGATCGATGTAATGACCCTGAGGAAGAATTCAAAAGTTAAATGTGAGCGTGATCTTCAGCTTCCCTCTCACAACTCTTCTCCTTCCATCTTTTCCTTTGTCCGCTCTCCTTCTTTCTCCTCCAGCCTATTTCACCGAGCTGCACAGTCAGTCCGAGCGCTCCCTCCAGGAGGCGCTGTCTCCACTCGGCCCTCTCTACTCCCAGAACACCCGCCTGTATGGAGATCTCTACGCCGACCTGCGACAGTACTACCGGGGCTCTGCTCTCAACCTGGACGAGACGCTGTCGGAGTTCTGGTCCCGGCTTCTGGAGCGCACGTTCAAATCCTCCACCCCCGCAGAGGTGTCCACACACAGACAGAGAGTGGTTATAAATGAGAATGTGACTGCAAAGCAGATCTCCATCCTTTATCAGGTGATTCCTAAATGTCTGTTCATAACAGTCTTCTCCTTCATTGTGTCTGCCGCTGTCACCTCTGTCTACAAGGTCAGCCTATCAGAGGACTACCTTGAATGTGTCGCTAAGCAACAGGAGACGCTGCGGCCATTTGGAGACGTCCCTCGGGACATGAAGGCGAAGGTGATCCGCGCTTTTGTCACAGCCCGGTCGTTTGTCCAGGGGCTGATAGTCAGCGGAGAGGTGGTCAGGAAGGTGTCGCAGGTGAGTGACTCTGAGTGTGTGTGTGTGTGTGTGTGTGTGTGTGTG